AGCGGCACCTCATATAATCGATTCTGCGCCGAAATATACAACTCTGAACGCTTGCCCAATACCGTACTCCTTCCTAGCTTCAGCGCCGCCGGGTACGGTACTAGGCAGGAGCTTAACGTTGAATTTCTCGTCCGCTAATGAATCGAATGAGCTGTCACTTGGGCAATAGGTTGATGAAAGGTGTCTCAGTCAGTTTTCACACAAGAAACCAGATACCCTATTTACTTGGACACTGCCTTTGAGACGGAGACGAAACTCGGCCAGCTGTTATCTCCAAGACCCTTCCCATAAAACGGTACACATTATAAATGATCTAATGATCTTTTTGTGAGAATTTCGTCGTTATTCTTGTAGCGTAAAACTCTTCCACCTCCACATGATTTTCTTTACAAAAAGTGTCAGCACCACAAACTTGCAGCGAGAGCAGTGTATTTTTGCAAATTAATAAATTTTACTCGAGTATTTGGCATGTAGAGGTGGAAGAATTTTTACACTTTTCGTTTTTTTCGTGAAAATTTCATTATCAGATACGATACTGCTTGTCACAAGATGTCCACAAGGTACGACGCCCATGCACGAGTTTTAATTTTTTTCTAATTTAGAAAAAAAATTTGTAAAATCTGTAAAACTCACAATATATACATTGCCACTCCTAATGACCACATATCACAGGATTTATCGTATAATTCACGGGATAGCACCTCAGGAGGTCTGTAAATGATAGGATTATGATTTTCAAAAAACGTTGAAAGATGCTAACTTACGCATAATAAGGAGTACAACATGGTGACTCCATGAGCACATTACGTTCTGGACGTTTGGCAAACCCGTAATCGCCTAATTTGTACACGCAGTCGTCGCCTTTTGAACTGAAATTATTCATCATAAGAGGTACGCTAGCATAACTAACATTTTTGGAGTTTTTGAGACCAATCCATTTACGTTAACTACTCTTAATCTTTAATCTTCCCTTCCTTTTCTTTCCCCATTTCAAGGTGAAGAGTTATCAAAAAGCCTAATTTGTTCTAAGCGTTTAATTTCTCAGAGTATACCTCAAGCTTTTTACATTCTATTATTTGTCCAAATTTTTTCTAGCAATCGCAAACTTTACCATAATTTGTAAATTCTCTGGTGCAAATGTAGGACAGATACCAACTTAG